TAAGAGCACCTGGCCAGCCAGACAAAAGAGCGGCATTGCTATTACTAACACTGATCATGGCAGCAGCAGCTACCAGTTAGGGTTTATTATGGCCTGGGCACTGTGCTGAGTAATCTTTACTTGCTTTATCTCATCAACTACTTATAAAGCACAGTGAGGAAGAAGAAACCAAAGCCCAGAGAGGTTAAGGGCACAGCTTAAAGTTGCCCAGCTAGTAAGGGGCAGAGCTGGGGCTCAAAACCCAGAGCTGACACCAAAGTCCACCTCTTCACCACTCCACTGTCCCACTGACCTTGTACATTCTGGGAGGTGCTAGGAACCATCCTCTCTAATCCTTTCTCTGATCCTAACAGAGGTAACTCCAGCTGCTGGCCCCCTGGCCTCTGTCCTGGGGACCAGGGGACCCCGGGTGAGGATTGCATCCTCAGGCAATCCTTACAGATGGGCCATTTTCTCTTACATTCTCCATGTTGGTCACCACATACAATCTGTCCATACCCCAACTCCACTCCCTACAAGAAACACAGCCCTTTTGTGTTGAAGTCCAAATTAAGAAGGCTAATTTGAAGTTTACTAGTGGTTCTGGGTGGAAATAAAGGATGTATATTCTTGGGATGTTTTTTCTTTTTAAGTTTGTAAAAGCTCTATGGTTTTTTTTTTTTTTTTCCTGCAACAGAATGTTATCATGAAGAAGGCATTCCCTAAGCCCTTTCTGTCCCAAGGCCCTGTCCTAAAGGCCTTAGGCCACGACCGAAGCCTCCCTCTGGAGCTTCTTAACTCTTGGGGGCAGAGTGTGGGAGGCTCTAGCTTCCTTTCTTTACCCAAATTCTCCCCGGGACCAATCAGAGGGGCGGCTGCAGGAAGCTGGAGTCGAGTGAAGTGACACGCCCGCCCCAACCCGGTCCTACCCAGGTGGTCTCCAAGCCCGCTCAGCCGGCGCCACCGCTCACCTGCACGAAGCCCCAGAGCGGGTGGAGGGCGCAGTGCAGCAGCAGGGAGGGCCAGCAGCAACCACCGCGCAGCACCAGGTCCCGAAGGGGCATCTCGGCCCGCGGCACCCGCTTTCTGGGGCGAACTGTCAGGGGAGCAAACCTAGGGTCAGGCGGGCGCCGCGCGGGCACCACCGCGGTCGCGCACGCGCACACGTAGCAGTCCGAGTTGGGCTGGCATGCCGGACATCCTGGGGCACCCTCGTAAACCAAGCCTGACCCTTCGCTCCAGCTTGTACGTTCGATGACCCTTCGTGCACACACGCGGCATCCGGCATCCCAGAACTCACACTCCATCCTGGTGCACACCCCCAGAATCCTGCGTGCATACCTTGGCCCCATGCACACCTCCAGACACAGCCAAGCACACTTAACGGAGGGAGCCCCGTGCATCTCCCCAGAAACAGCCATGCACAACTAACTCCCACTGTGAGCATACTTCAAACACGGCGGGCACCGCTCACTCTGCGTGCACACCCACAGAAAAGCCGTGTACACCCACCGACTCCTGCCTGCACACTCGCTGACCCCGCATGCACGGCACCATGAAATCGCACGCTGCGTGCACCCTCCTTGCCCCGCCGGCCCTCACTGCGCACACTGCAACGTATACATCTCCATGCGCACCCCATTTACCCTGGCGCGCTCTCCCGAGCCCCGGCCTCCCGCCCCAGGGCGTGAGCCTTCCCCGTCTCCATCCCCGCCCTCACCCCTCCAGCGCCTCACCCCACCTTGCCTGGAGGCGGCCCCAGCCGATCCTCAGCGCGGGGAAAGGAGGTCCGCGCTCCCCCCGTAGCAGTCTGTGTTCCGGATCCTCGGGGCGGCCCCCATTTAAAGCCAGCCGCCTCCCCAGTCCCCCGCCCTCTAGGCGGGGCCTCGGTCCTCGCCTTGGCGACTGCGAGGGCGCCTAGGGGCTTCACGTGCCGGGGAGGAGCGCCGGGCACTGAAGCAAAAGTTTGCGCGCGGCAGAGCCTCGCCCGCCTCCCGCCCGGGCTGCGCTCCCGCCCGCGCTCCCCGCCGCCGCCGCCAGCGCCGCTGCAGTGAGTCCTCGTCTCCATCTAGCGAGGCTATTGTGTATTGGGCGCGTAATCATTTATTAATTCACCCCGAGGAAGAGGACTCCCGGCCCCAGAGCGGCCTTGCTCCTTGCTTGTCATCCCCTCCAAGTTTCTCCGAGGCGGCGGGAAGGGGGTAAAGGGCTGACTCGTGGAGACCCCTTTTTGTACTTGGTCCTTTGGGACTCTCCTTTCCCTCGCCCCACTCGGAGGGGGCGGAGGTCCCCCCGGGGTGCAGGGGCCAAGTGCTTGTTCTCACTTCCGTAGTCCGGGTACCAGGACCTGTCCGTTACTGCTTTTCCTCAGCTATCTCAAGCTCCTCTGTTTGAGGCAAGGTTATCAACAAGTCGTCGCGTGTCGCCTATCACATTTCTTTCAAACAAGCTGCCCCTGGCCCCACAGGCCACACCGGAAGTGTGCGAGACCGCTCTGCTCATCAGATAGAAGCCCTTGCCCAGTGCTTTGACTGATGGCGTGGCCTTCCAGGAGGCCCTCCAAGGCATGGACAATCCTATGTTTAGGTTGGGCGAAGGTATCAGGGACTCAGGACAGGGAGCAGAGCGTCTGACACCAAAGCTCATTCACCGAAGGACCATTTACTTAATTCTTTTGCCCAGTGACCCTTAAGTCACTCCATATAAACACATACTCTAGGTAGAAACTGTGTGCTCTGCAAATCGGCTTTCAGACCAATTTCCTAGTGACTGCCTTTATGCACAGTGATGACCCAAGGCTCTTCTCCATATAAGCTCTGCAGAGCCACACCTGAACCAGCGAGATGCTGGGGACAGATGTGAATGAGGCATTGTCCTTTCCCTCCGGGGCCATAGGGTCTGATCTGGGAGACAGATAATAAAATCAGCCATTCCACTGTCCACTGTCAGCTGTGGTGTGAGAAAGGGACCTGCACTGTACAGGGTGG